GGCTTAGGTGATTCTCTTGCCTCAGCCTCCCAAGTAGCTGGGACTACAGGCGCCCGCCACAATGCTCAGCTATTTTTGTTGTTATTGTTGCAGTTTGGCCAACGCCAGGTTTGAACCCGCCACGCTCGATATATGGGGCTGGCACCCTACCCACTGAGACACAGGCACTGCCCCAAACATCAAACTCTTGGGCTTAAGTAATTCTCTTGCCTCGGCCTCCCAAGTAGCTGGGACTACAGGAGCCCACCACAATGCCCGGCTATGTTTTTTTTTTTACAAGTGAGCAAACGGGCAAAGTGTATTAACAACAGACAGTATGCTTCAGAGAAGGAACACATCTACATTTTTAAGTGGAGAACACCCTGGGATTAGAAAGATTTTTGCCCTGTATGCTGATTTTTGAATTCTGTGTTAATTTGTTTGCATGTAAAAACTCATGATTTTTCCTGGAAAGGGGGAAAACTTCCAGAATAGAGTCCTCCCATTCCTATCCCTATACAGCAGTTTTCAGAAGTTATCATTGTATTTGTAAAGTGTAATAGAACTGATGTAAATGCCCGGCTATTTTTTTTGTTGTAGTTGTCATTGTTTAACAGGCCAGGGCTGGGCCGGCTTGAACCCACCAGCTCAGTGCATGTGGCCGGCACCCTACTCACTGAGCTACAGGCGCCAGGCCTACTCCCTGATGTTTTATTTTATTTATGTATTTTTTTTAAGAGACAGAGTCCCACTTTATCACCCTCGGTAGAGTGCCATGGCATCACAGCTCACAGCAACCTCCAATTCCCAGGCTTAGGCGATTCTTTTGCCTCAGCCTCCTAAGTAGCTGGGACGATAGGCGCCTGACACAACCCCCGGCTATTTTTGTTGTTGTTGTTGTTGTTGTTGTTGCAATTTGGCTGGGGCCAGGTTCGAACCTGCCACCCTTGGTATATGGGGCCAGCACCCTACCCACTGAGTCACAGGCGCTGCCCACTGATTTTTTTTGTTAGAAACAGAGTCCCACTCCTGGGCTTAGGCAATTCTCTTGCCTCAGCCTCCTGAGTAGCTGGGACTACAGGCATCTGCCACAACGCCTGGCTATTTTTTTTGCAGTTTGGCTGGGGCCGGGTTTGAACCTGCCACCCTCGGTATATGGGGCTGGCGCCCCACTCACTCAGCCACAGGCGCCGTCCCTCATGTTTTATTTTGAAATACTTCAAACTACAGAAGAGCATTTACACACCCATACCCAGATCTTTGTTTTACATCTTTCAAAGTAAGCTGTAGAAGTCATACCATTTCACACCTAAATACTGAAGCCTAGAACTTCTAAAGAAATCATAGATTATCACACCCAAGACACCCAACACTGGAGGCAGACTGTCATCTGATAGCCCATTTCATGTAAGGAGGTCATCTGTTTTAAGTGGCTTCTTTCCACACTTAACAGGTCTTTCCCTCACAATGGAGTCCTTGGCAGGCACTTAGGTGTGTCAGAAACAAAAATGCAAAATGGAACTGGAGCACATCACAGACCTTGGACCAGAAATGGCCTGTGAGGCACTGAAAGAGACGCCACTGTGCAAGCTGATGGTCACACAGCTTGAGAACCACAAAGCCCAGGCAGGAGAGCACTGCTAGAGCTAAGTAGGTGGCTGAGGAGGTACTGCCATATCGCTGGTGGGCATGTAGGGCCTGCCCCACAGTGGCCACAATGTGAGCCCCTAGTGCAACCTCAAACCCACGGGGGTGCAGCAAGGCAAGGCTATAACTGGCCAGGGAGAGGCACTCAATGAAGAGGAACAGCCAGGGCTCCCAGCCCCTGTCTAGGTAGAGGCACCAGGCCAGAGGCCACGCAAAAATGGGCAAAGTGAGCCACTGATCAAGCACCGCCGCAAGGTGCGTCTGTGTCCAGATCCGCAGCCACTGCAAGGGACCGTATAGTAGTGCCATGCTGGCAAAGACAGCCTTCAGGTAGCTAACCCTGCTCGTCTCCACCAGGCACCCAAGGGCACTGGTATTCCTCCGTAGCCAGTACACTCCCAGGAACATGTAGGCCAAGTTCACAAGCGAGTTGAAGGGCATGGCCAGGAATGAAGGGAGGCTGGTTACAGCTGCTTCTGCATAGTGCTCATAGCCCACTTCGACGAAGACACCCTCAAAAATGCCTGTATAGATGGTGGCAGCACATAGGCAGGTGGCCACAGCCACATGGAGCAGGGCCTGCCCTGACTCTGGCTTCATCTGGAATCCTCAGTGTGACCTGGGACAGAGAGCTTAGAAAAACAGCAGCTGTGATTTCAGAATTCAGGTAAACAGTTTTTGCAAAATACTCCTTGGCTTCCCAGCTGAGGCAGCAGGAAGACACCGGTGATTTCCAATGCAGATACTGCGACCTTGCCCCCAGGAAGACAGGAGCCTTGCTGATTGGCTGGTGTTGGTGGAGGACCAATCTGCCTTTTTCCTTTGTGGTTACAAAAAGAATATGGTTAGAAAAAAACACCCAAAAAAGAACTTCCACCTTCCCTACTCTCAGCCTCAGCATCCACCAATGGTTTTCTTCTTCTTCTTTTTTTTTTTTTGAGACAGAGTCTCACTATGTCACCCTCAGTAGAGAGCTGTAGTATCACAGTTCACAGCAACCTCGAACTCTTGGGCTTAAGCGATTCTCTTGCCTCAGCCTCCCAAGTAGCTGGGACTACAGGCGCCCACCACAACACCCAGCTATTTTTTTGTTGCAGTTGTCATTGTTTAGCTGGCCCGGGCTGGGTTCGAACCTGCCAGCCTCAGTGTATGTGGCTGGTACCATCACCGCTGTGCTATAGGCACTGAGCCCCACCAATGGTTTTCAGTAGACAAAACAAATAAAAGCCAAATGACGCCCACAGTATGTTCACCTTCTTACTTGTGGCCTTAAGAAGCATCTGGAATTCTCTACTGCCCCTCTGTCCCACAACCTATGTGGCTCTTCTTTCATCTGTATACTACAAAAATCCTGCTCACTGGGGTGGCGCCTGTGGCTCAAGGAGTAGGGACGCTGGCCCCATATGCCAAGGGTGGTGGGTTCAAACCCAGCCCCAGACAAAAATCTACAAAAAAAAAAAAATCCTGCTCACTGTCTTACTTCCCATAAAAACATTGCATTTAGAGACTTAAACCTTTCCTAGGTCTGTTGTGCCAACTCACACTGTGGAAGTTTCCAGGCCAGCCCCAAAGTTCTTTTAACCAAATACCCAGTTGAACTAAAGACCATTCAATGTTGTCCAAGTTCTAGCTCTGAGGCAAAAGACGGTGCAGGACTGGAGGCAGGCCTCATCCCTTAGCCCTCCTATGACATGTGAGCCCCAAATCACTTTCCTCAGCCCTTGAAAAAAAATCTTCTATTTCCTATAGTGACAGACTAGAAATGCAATTTGACTATCTGACTGTTTACTGCTCTGGTGCAGCCTGTGGTGGAGTTAGCCTAGTAGCTAAGAAATGTATGATATCTGATAGTCCATTTCAGGGAAAAGAGGTTTAATACTCTGAAAAGGACTCAAAGCCAAGAAAGTGGGCAGGCAGGATAGAAAGAGAGTGGTGGGCCTCAAGTTCCGGGTAGCCGGATGCCAGAATGTCTGTGTTCAAACCTTGGCTCTCCCACTTACTAACCCTGTGTTCTTTTTTTTTTTTTTTAAGACAGAGTTTCATTATGTTGCCCTCGGTAGAGTGCTACAGTGTCACAGCTCACAGCAACCTCAAACTCTTGGGCTTAAGCGATTTTCTGGCCTCAACCTCCCAAGTAGATGGCACTACAGGTGCCTGCCACAACGCCCAGTTATCTTTCTGTTGCAGTTGTCATTGTTGCTTAGCTGGCCCAGGCTGGGTTCAAACCCACCAATCTCAGTGTATGTGGCTGGTGCCATAACCAGTGTGCTATGGGTGCTAAGCCCTGTGATCTTGGGCCTTAACTGTTCTGGCCTTGGCCAGGCATGGTGGCTCATGCCTGTAATTCTAGCACTCTGGGAGGCCGAGGAAGGTGAATTGCTTGAGGTCAGGAGTTAGTGAACCCCTTCTCTACTAAAAATAGGAAAACTGAGGCAAGAGGATCACCTGAGTCTAAGAGTTGAGGTTGTTGTGAGCTATGACACCACTGTACTCTATCCAGGGCCACAGGTTGAGATTCTGTGTCCAAAAAAAAAAAACTTCTGGTCTTAGTTTTCTTATCTGTAAAACGGGGGTGCTACCAGGGTTGTCATGTAGATTAAACAGGGTCTTTTTTTTTTTTGAGACAGAGTCTCAAGCTGTCACCCTAGGTAGAGTGCCGTAGTGTCAGAGCTCACAGCAACCTCCAACTCTTTTTTTTTTTTGAGACAGAGCCTCAAGCTATCCCCCTGGGTAGAGTGCCCTGGCATCACAGCTCATAGCAACCTCCAACTCCTGGGCTCAAGCAAGTATCTTGCCTCAGCCTCCCAATTAGCTGGGACCACAGGCGCCTGCCACAACGCCCGGCTATTTTTTGGTTGCAGCCATCATTGTTTGGCGGGCCCGGGCTGGATTTGAACCTGCCACCTTAGGTGTATGTGGCTGGTGCCTTAGCCACTTGAGCCATAGGCGCCAAGCCAAAACCTCCAACTCTTGAGCTTAAGCAATTCTCTTGCCTCAGCCTCCCAAGTAGCTGGGACTACAGGCGCCCACCACAACACCCGGCTATTTTTTGTTGCTATTGTAGGTGTCATTGTTGCTTAGCAGGCCTGGGCCGGGTTCTAACCTGCCAGCCCTGGTGTATGTGGCCAGCCATTGAGCTACAAGTGCCAAGCCAACAATGTCAACTTTATGGAGTGAAGGCAATACATGTTCAGTAATCTCCTTCACTTATGAAGGGTTACATGCAGATAAACTCATGTTAGGTAGAAAGTCAGCTTATGATATTTCAACTTATAATGGGATTATCCAGACATTACATCATCATAAGTCAAAAAGAACCTGTGGGCCAGGTACAGTGGCTCACACCTATACTCCCAATACTCTGGGAGGCTGAGGCAGGTGGATTGCTTGAGCTCAGGAGTTTGAGACCAGCCTGAGCAAGAGTGAGACCCCATCACTTCTAAAAATGGAAAAACTAGGGCGGCACCTCTGGCTCAGTGAGTAGGGCGCTGGCCCCATATACCGAGGGTGGCAGGTTCAAACCTGGCCCTGGCTAAACTGCAACAAAAAATAGCTGGGTGTTGTGGTGGGCGCCAGTGGTCCCAGCTACTCGGGAGGCTGAGGGAAGAGAATCGCCTAAGCCCAAGAGCTGAAGGTTGCTGTGAGCTGTGACGCCATGGCATTCTACTGAGGGTGACAAAGTGAGACTCTGTTTCTACAAAAACAAACAAACAAAAAATAGAAAAATTAGCTGGGAGTTGTGGTGGGTGCCTGTAGTCCCAGCTACTTGGGAAACTGAGGCAAGAGGATGGCTTGAGCCCAGGAGTATGAGGTTGCTGTGAGTAATGATGCCACAGCACTATACCCAGGGTGACAGAGACTCTATCTCCAAGGAAAAATAAATACAGTAAGTGACACTTAACTGTACCCACCCTGCAGACCTGCAGGACCCAGAGCTCAGGGTTCATATTTAGCTGTGATTTTGTGTCTACTAACAAATCTCTTCTCATCTTCCCTGCTCCTTAACCTTCCCAGCATCTACTCCCTACAATTCTATACTCTAGTTCCACGAGCTCATTCTTTTTTAGCTCCCACATAGGAGAATATGCAACATTTGTCTCTCTGTGCCTGACATATGTTGGTTAGCCAAGCTTATCCATGTCACTGCAAACAGTAGCATTGCCTTCTTTTTTC